TCAGTTTGTTTTCATTTTTTTATTACTTATGTTTAATATTTTAGTTCTATTGAGGGCACTGTAGCTTATTTATGCATAGAGACCCTTAAAAAATTTACTGCAACCCTTGTTGCATAATCAGGAAATTGAAATGCGAATCAAATAAAAAAATCAAAAGAAAAGAAAAAAGAAGGAGGGTGGAGGGAAAGTTAATATGAGATGTCTTTCCTTAATGCAGTGATGCATTGTTGTGATGAGGAAGTAACAATGAAGTTTATTTATTATTCATGATACTTAAAGAACAGTCAAATGAGTCATATGAAAAGAAAATGTTTTATAACTTTTACGTGTTTTCCCTCAGTATTTTTAAGTTTTTAGACTATAATCAAGGTAAGTTGCACTCTCTGTTTAGTACTCTTGGTACTTTTGTGTCTGATTCCAAACTATTTTATCACCATCAGAACTTCAGGATTGTAGTTTGTTTCTATTTCACAGATAATCTGAAGGCTAATCTTCCAGACTTTGCTGCTTTAACATTTTAGATGTGGTCTCCCCATTTTTTAAATTTATCGTTGGTTCATTTAATTATGTAAAGGAGCATTTTTTTACTGATTTTTATTGTATCTTTTCTACTATATTCTTTGCCTTCAGTTTCTCTCCATTGCCTTGACTTTGCCAATCCATCAAAGTTAACACTTTGATGGATTGGCAAACTAATCTATGTTGCTTCCTGTCTTTGACAATCCATACATTTCCCTGACCAAATTTTTGATTCAGACAAAAGTGCTGACTTTGATATCATATTATGTACCTATTACTATTCTTATTCCTATTTTTTTTCTTGAAACATATCTCTTCAAATATGTTTTAGATTGGGTAAATTTTACCAGGAGCCACCTCTTATTGACCAGGAAACCAATGCTCCTGTAGATCTGGATTCAAAAGATGCAAAGTTTAGAAAAATTCAGAAAGAACTGTGAGTATCTCTACATTTACCAAGAATTTTAAAAGTAGTTTAATGAGTGCCAGAACTAGGATTGGTAGATTCAGTTATTGCCCAGAGATCTTTAAATTACAAGCCCTGAAAATGGAATGTAAGAAAAAATAATGAAACAGAGAGGGAGAGAAAAAAAGAATAATAAGCATGTCATGATGATTTTATAAATCAGAGTAAAGAAGTTTGTTATTGTATAAAATTTGCAATTAATAATGAATTGGTAGAATCTAGTATATTATATTAATGGATTCTTTGATAAACATATTTTTTAACTTCATATATATCATACGTGATGTGGATGGGTGTATTTTTCATTTCTCAAGGTTTAAATTATAACAAAAGATAGTAATTTTGAATTTTCAGAAGTTGGATAGTCATTTTTTGGTTTATAAGTTCTTGAGTAATATTTCACTAATAAGTAGAAATATATTACCAATGCATTATTTAGTATTTATATTGTTGAAAGACACTCATTTTATCACAACTCTTTATGTCATTCTTCCATTAGATATAATCTCATAATGTTTTATTATGTTGGTAGTGTTAAATATAATGGTTAAAAGTGGTATGTAGATATATTAGTAACATCAGTTTTAAAAAAAACTGTTACAAGATTTACCAGTGTTTTTAATAAAAAAGACCTTGATCCTAATTAAAAAATTCAGCAAGTTTTCATAAAAACATTACAACAATCAGAGGCAAATCCAGAGATGAATTTTGGCAGGGGAATTTTTTCTATCCAAAATATTTTGGTTGAATGTGTCTTATTACAGATTATGTAAAATGACAAACACTAAATTCAGCTCATGTTGCAATACAATTTTATTCGTTTTAATTTTTATACGAAAATATTTTTGCTTGAAAGTTTTGTGACAAGTTAAAATTAATAGTAGGGGAGAAAAATTTTGGGAGGGGAAATATCTCTCATTTTCCTCCCTATGGATCCACCCTGGCCACAATGAATGAAAGAATTGTATGTTTTTGTTTTGTATACATGTTTTTACTTTTATCAAAGTTTTTAATTTTTTGATAAAAAAATATTTGTTCCTAAAATTTCTTGATTTTAAGGGCTTATTTGAAGGGTATGATAACAAAAACCATAGAACATCTTACCCTGAAAGGAAACTACACAGCACTAGAAGACTTTGTAGTTTTTGAAATTTTTAAACAAATGGAAGAGGATGAATTGCTTCTCCAAGAGAAAAAAATTCAGCAAACCTTAGTTAATATAAAAGCAGATATAGTAAGACAGAAAGAACTGTTTGATGAAAAAACCCTTGATCTGGACCAACAGCTTGCTACAATGAAGGTACCACACACTTTATACTTTTGTTTGAGCAAACCAAATTCTTCGCAAAGATGAAGATGTTTCTTTTTCCCAGGATGAAGTATTCCGCGTATTACTAACAAGTAACATTGAGGCACGATATATTGATAAGTGGGAAACCGCACGAGCTGATCAACACTTTTATCAATGTGCAAGAATGGAGAATAAATTGAAAGAGACACTTGCTAAAGTTAAATTAGAAACAGACAATGAGACCCAAGCGCACAAGAACATCGTTAATTTCCTTAATCAAGAAATAAAAGTAAGCATGGTTTTTAAGTCTTAACTTTATTTATGAAATTTTCCACTTTCACCATTTGATACATCTTTATTAATTCATAATTGTAATCTTAAAATTTCAATGTATCGATTAAGAAAGAATCATAATATAATTTGGTTTCTTGTACTCACAATAATACAATTCATTGATTCAGTGAATTAATGACTGTAATATCAAATAATATTAAAAACAATATATAAAAAAATTTAATCATGTAAAAATACATGAAAATACTCAATGTATTAATATAGATATAGAAGAATAATATTAAAAAACATTAGTGTATGATCTTCTAAATTCAATTTTTTTCTTTTTAAACTAAGACAAGCAAATCAGAGATATAAATTTATTGCAAAGATTGTATTTCAAAGCTAATGAAGAGAATGGAGGAATTACCCAAGAGATTTGGCTATGAATGTTTTCTGAAAGTCTTAGGAATGTGATTTCCCGGATCGTCATATTTCAGGTACTAACTATAAAAAGTTGCACAACATACACGAGTTGTGTTACCACAATGTAACAATTCTTGATGCATACAAGACATTCCTTATTTTCACTTCTAACTGATAGGTATTGTATTCCCATTTTTTTAACCGCTAAAAATTATTTATTGTGAATATGAAAATGTATTAGAAGATAATAGCATCAGAAATATCACAATTCATTCACAATAGCTTTTTTAAATTTTATTTATTTTGAGTCACATTGACATTGAAGTCATTGGTGTCAACAATTTGATATGCTTTACACTTTCAATATAATTTTAAGAAACATATTCAAGATCAACATGATTATGAAAACAAAACAAACAAACATGAGTGTAGTTAGTGCTGTAAATAATGCTGTAAATCATTTCTTTAATGAAATTGAATTAATTTGGACTGATTTGTTCTAAATCTTGTATGACCACCTGATCTTTCAATGAGAACTCTTTGAATAACTTAAAGGATGTGATTTTGTGCATATCATTAGCGTCTCATTTCATCTTTCAGGGTAGATGTTTTGCTGGTTAATATTGTGTTCACCAGTTTTCAACATGATTGAAATTTTAAGGAGTACCTGAGCTGTTTTACAGGGTAGTTGCATTCTTGAAGAATAGTCATTACAATCAATGACATCATTGAGCATTAGGATCCATGATAAAATGACTTTTTATCTGACTGCACTAGGTCGGAGTGCAGTTCATGGATTAATATACCATTTCATTCATGGAAGGGTTGCTGTTTATAGCACTTATGGCTTTCAGAGAGTTGGAGAAGACAAAAAATGTTTTTGAGTTTTGTGATTTAACTATTCTGAAGGCATATTTTTGCTGAGGAGATATTAGCATATGAATATAATTGGTGGTTTATTTGTATTTCTTGATTACTTACAATAGCAAATGATCCTGTAGGGTTTTCAGTGTACTTAATATAAATTTTATAGAGGTTGGTTATTAGTTCTTGTACTCATTAATTTCCAATCTTCTTTAGATGATGTGTCTTCTTGAGACGCATTTACAGAGAGGTCAGTATTGGTCTTTGAGAGTTTCCCTGGAGATGTCATGAAATTTCTTTCTTTCTCTAAGTAAATTTCCCTAATAGAGAATTGTTGTGGTTTTGACAATATATTTTGTACTGTCTTCACTAATAACTTAAAGCTTAACTTTGTTACAAACTTTACATTGATAGTTACTAACTGCACTGTGGTAACAGGTGTACTTACCTGTTAGTGTGGTGGCAATGTGCAGGTGTGATGTTGGCATGAAAATCAAAATCAAACCATGACAATGTATTGTGAAAGCAAGAATACTAGCATTGAGCCAATAAACTGCAGAAGTACTTTAAGATATTTCAACATTTATTAGCATTCAGATAGCAAATAGTTTTAAATTTTCTTCTCAAGGTGTAAAAACTAAATGATTCATTGTTCAACCGTGTTAATATAAGTTTACATTGATAATTATTATATTTTGTCCAATTTTATTGTTACAAGCGACTGGGGTGTGAATGTGAGGCATGGTTACTGAAGTTAAAACAAGAATCAGACAAAGCTGATGTTGAAATCAAACATGCCAAAGAAGTTTTGGAAGGCTTGAGAAAAACGAAACAAGAAACAACAGACCTAGTAAGTGGAAATTCTTTGTATTCTGACATCCTGGTTTCCAAATAACTTTATGCAATGCAAGTTACTGCTGTCAGCTAATCAAACTTTAAATAAAATAATTATGAAATACTTTTATTAAGTTTGCCAATGTCAAACAGTTAAAAACTGTCAGTCATATTTGGGAGGAAGAAAAGTTTCATATTTAGCATGCATATTTAGCAGTACAACAAGATTGTATCAGCATTTGCTTAATAGTTTAAGAGAAATAGAATGAAACTAGTGGTAATACAACAGAACATACTTTTTCAACCTTAGTATCTGTTACGTCATATTATTATACCACAATTTGTCTCTATAAACACATCTCAGTCATACTTATTACAAATCATAAAACATTAGAGACCAAAATTAATTACTTTAAAGATGATATATAAACACAAATTTGACAATTAAAACTGCGTTTCATAAAATCTCCCAACAATGAGAAGGAATTCTCAGAACTTTAAACAAGTTCAAACTGTCCATTGTAGCATGGTAACATGATTACTTCTGAAAGATTCTAGCAAAAGAAGCACGGAAAATTCAAATGCCCAAATTTGAAAATGCAAAATTCTGCTAACCTATTCATATATGTAAAAAATTGTAGCAATGACCATTTTTAAGAAATGGATTTTTACTTTCTTGCTACTGCTTACACAGTAGAGAGAAAGTTATGTAA